TTATGGATGCAGTTTGTACAAAGCTTACATGATTGCATGTAGCTTGTGTTGTTGTTTTATTCCTCTCTCTAGGGGTTTTGTGAATTGGTTATTTTAGCCAAAATTTATCAAAGGGGGGAGATTGTTAGTTCTATGGTTTTATGATTGTCTAAATTTGGTAAAACATGGCTTCATACTAATATTAAGCAAGATGTTGTAACATCTTCATCAATTGTCATAACATTTTTACTGTTATGTGTTTCAGACAGATGTCATGATATCTTGGTTTGTGCACAGCAGGCACTGCTATTTTATATCTCTTGACAAATTTGTTTGATTTCATGAGATCCTTTTAAATATAAATCATCGTTATGCGCAGGTCAAAGAGATTATTTAGGAACAAAGTGCAAATTTGATTTGTTTCATTAAAAAGGATCTTTGAGACTTTTTAGGAAACTTTAAAAGATTTGTACCTATTTTTATGTGAAGATAATGCAACTGATTTAAAACGTGAATATTGGATTTGATTTGAATAGTCCAAACCCATACCGTAAGAGTCTATAAGTAAGGACTTTCTAGACCTAAAATAGAAAGAATTCACAATAACAAACCATGGATGCAACATAAGGGTTTAGGATTTTGGGAGTCTTTTAAGTTCTTTGTGTTTGTGTTCTTTGTATGTCACTCACGTATCTTTTGATGCATTGAGTTGATTGATTATTGATTATTTATCAAGATATTATTCTCACTCATGAGCTTTTAAGCAAAGAGTTGAGTATTGTTTTTAGTTGAAGCTTTTAAGCAAGACTAAGTATTGTTTATTGGAAGTGTAATCTTCTATTTTTAGTCTAGTAACAAGTTTTGTGGCTGTAGGTATCACTGTGGTGATTGAAAGTGGAAGGGGGATCTCATATCTAGTGGTCTCTAGGTATAAGTTGCACAAGGTAGTGATTAGGCGAGAAGTTATAAACTAGGGTTGGTTTAGCTTTGAACTAATAATATCATAGTGCATTTCCTTCCTGGCGTGGTTGCCTCCAGAGTAGGTGACGTTGCACCGAACTGGGTTAACAATTAATCGTGTTGTTTAATTTTCTACAATTTATGTTCTGCACAATATGCTGGTTTATCAAGTGTTTTTTCCTTCCAGTATATGATGTTATAACATATGTCCTGACATCGCATTGTGTGTTGAAACATCATTTTTAACACTTGTTTTTAAGGTGCCAGAATTTCACACTTGTTAGACGACGACAACTTATCTAGAGGAGGGGGTGAATAGATCCCCAATCCAAAACTTATTATTTAATATTCTATTTTTAAATTTAAAACAAAAATTATGACAAGCAAAAGATTAAGCCCAGATCAAACAAGTCGTCTAAACTGAGCCGACTATTAGAAACTCATATATGTGTAAACCACATAACAAAATCAAATACGATGATAAGTCTTAATACAATAATTTCTAAATCAATTGTTTTATAATGTTCACAAATGTTAACCCATATCCAATGAAATTATTTATAAAGCTAAAACAAGCAAATTATCAAACACTTGGCGTGCAATCGATTTTTCAGATTTTCCCTTTGACTTTGTTGATATGAAATACCACTTACAATCAAATTGATTGTAATGTAATCAACAAAGCAATGTTTAGCAATCAATGGATGTGTCTATACGAATCGATTACACAATCAATAAGTTTAATAATTTGTTACGCAAAGTAAATGTGATATAATGAGAGAGAGAGAACACAAGAATTTGTTTAGACAGTTCACCAATCGTCTTCGATATGGCTACGTCTGCCCCTAATTTCAAATAGAATTAAGATAATAAATCTTACTTTGCAAAATATTATTTACAAGATAAATATAGCAATCGAACTCTACAAACTGCAAGTTTAATGTTGATCCTAACATTTTCTCTTCCCTTGATCTCATCTTAGTCAAGTTACCCAACAGACCAATTTGATCCACCGTTTCGCGCTACTCCTTTGATCGAACCACCGTTCTTCAATGTTTTCACTCAGCCAAATTCAATTTGCGAATTATTGTCACCCAATACTTCCAATTTGATCCACCGTCTCATGCTACTCCTTTGCAAGAACAAACGTTATTCAAAGCTTTCACTCGATCAAATCCAAATTGCAAATGTATCGTATCACAAGATTTACCAATTTGATCCACCATCTCATACTACTCCTTTGCAAGAATAATCATTCTTCAAACCTTTCACTTAATCGAATCCAAATTGTGTAATATTGTCCAAAACCTTCAAATCCCAATGATCTTAAAGAAAAACCCCAACTTGGTTTTCTTAATTTAGGCCCCTAGAAATTCTCAATCCAATCTTAAGTTACACCTACCTAAATTGAACGTTATCAACACAAGTCTAGATGGCACCAAAACAATGAATAATTATGTGTACTTTGAGCGTGTGTGTGTGTATGCATAGATGATAGATTGAAGATGATGATCAATTTTTGCATGTTTTAGTACCTTCTTGTTGAAAATGATGCATGTATGAGGTATTTATATGTGTGCAGGTTGGACACAAAAAGGGAGGCTTATAATTTGAAAAGAAATGCAAATTTTTTGGAAAAAATACAGCATGCGTCGACACATATAAGTCATGTGTTGTCACATGTAATGATATGTGTCGATCTATCCATGTCATGTGTCGACACATAGGCAGAAGCTTTACAGGCTTTAAAAATGCAGTACATGTGTCGACCTGAAACATGTATGTGTTGACACATAGATGAAAAATTTTAGTATGTGTTGACCAGAAAGGTCGTATGTTGCAACACATAGACAAAGACTTTATAGGCTTCATTATTGATCCACATGTGTCTACTTATACATCGTATGTGTCGATACATAGACTTATTTTTCATGTAAAAACTCATTTTTAATGCATTGTGCCTTTTCCAAACATATTCTAAATGCATTATAAGATCCCTAATGCAAAGGTGCCCATAAAAACTCAGAGATATCGTTCAATATACAAAAATGTTTAGTTTATCCTAGTTTTGACATCATGCAAAACATCTAATGGGCAAGTGCACTCACAGTTACTTTGCAAGATCGACTAGTGAATCTCAAAATAATTTGCTTGAAGTTTTTCAAATAGAGTAAAATTAGTAAGAGTTTGGGTGATTTCGACAATAGTCAAGATCACGTTGTGAAATTTAAGGCGAGTGAAAGTAAAATTCTGATTAGAAATGTAAAGATTTCGACCATGAAATGTAAAGAAAAGTAAAGAAAAATTGAACGTAAAGGTTTGCATAAATGGAATTTTGGTGATCAAACATATATTACACTCTTGAGACTCATTTCGCGCTTCGCTGGATACTCTGAGTTTTGTGAGTTTGATAGTAAAATTAAACACCCCTAATTCTAATAATGAAATTACTATTTATAATGAAATACAAATAACTACTTCAAATGGGGCTTTTCTCTACTGAGTACCACGTTTCCGCTGCATGTCTTCTTATTTCGTAAACCGCTTTTACACGTATTCACACTAAGGATAAGGCTAAGAAGTGGTTACTAAACCACATTTGCTCGTGTCAACTTCCTGGTCGAATCTCAACTGCTTTGGTCGACAAATCCCTACTACTGTTATTTGGAAAAAATGCTAAGTCCATAATTCTTTTCCCACGTCCAGTTTCGACAGCTAATTCACCGTCTCTTTGTCGAATAATCGCTTACATGTGTGTCGACCATATTCTAGCATTTCACCACACTCTTCGTTCCAACCCTCTTTATCTTTCCCTTAGTTTAGTGGAATTTTAGTCTTGTCGAAAATCTCAGTTAACACTTAGGTTGTTTGGTAAAACTAGCAGGTAGTTGATAGTTGATAGCTTTTAGCTGATAGCTGATAACTGATAGCTGGTAGCTGATAACTGATAGCTTATAGTTGATAACTTATAGATGATAAGCTAACATGAGCGTTTGGTAAATTAGTGGTTTCATTAGCTGATAGATACAAAATGATATAAAAGGTCATTAATTAATAAGGATAATAATATATTTTGTTAAAATAATAAGGGTATAAATGGATGAAAAAATCACAAGTTAAAATCTAGAAGCTCAAAAACTATTTCAAATAGCTTTAAAAAAAAAAATCAAAAACTAATAAAAAAACTACAAACTAAAAACTAAAATTAAGTTACTAAACAGAGTTTTTTCATTAATGTGAGCTGAAGAGCTAAAAGCTCTTTTTTGAGTCTTACCAAACAAATTTTTATATACCGAACATTTCTTCCATTTCTAATTAATTAATCATTCATACTTGAATTCCAACATCTTCTCTCTTTCCATGTGAAAAAAGAATAAATCTAAGAAAGAATCTCGTCTATCCATTCACTCCCGATGAAAAGATCATATAATTTATTCCCTCTCCAAAAAAATTAAAAAATCCAAAATGAAAATTATGAGGAAGAAATCGGACTACCCTTCCACCAATGTATGTGATGAATTTTTAAAATATATGTGTCAATTAATCATCCATGTATGTGATTAGTGTCCTAGTGAATCTACTACAAGGTCGACTACCTGTCCAAGTAGTAAAACACGCCTCTCTTTACTCCTTTCTGGATCTCTCCAATCCTTTCTCCTATGACGTCCCATCCCATACTCAACTAATTCGTACTATTATTAACCATAGAGATTTGATGCTTATTATTTTTTGGATGGAATCTTAGAATCTGAATGAGGTCAACACCATGCAGAGGTACAAAAACAAAAGCAAATAACACAACCACTCACTTCATAGGGTCCCGCATCGCTTCCTCATGCTCGTGCATGTCACGAGTCTCTCTCTACTACCAATAGCATAGTAGCCGCCACCTCCACCACATGCTCTCTTTTATATATTCCTAACTCTTTGGTTCGGTCCCTTGAGATTGGAAAGAGAGAACTCGTAACTCATCAGTTACGATTTTGCTTCCTTTCTTCTCTCTCTCTTTCTCTTTCTCTTTCTCTATCCACACCATAGCCACACAAACACATAACTGCACTATGACTTACACTTTCACTTTCTTCCATTCTTGCATCTTCTTGTTCTATCTTCTCCTTTCAACTCCTTCACGTGCTTCTTCGTTTTCTGGTAATTAATTTCCATTTTCTTCTTTTCTTTGATGTGTTACTATATATAAATATTATCAGAAAAAAGTACTACTGTAAAAAAAAAACAAGAATATTATTGGACTTGTTTGTATGGTTTTGTTTTGATTCTTGGAATCTTGGATGAAATGTAAAGATACCTTTTTAAGGATTCAGATTCCCTTCCATGTTGTTAGCAAAAAAATATCATTTGTCTTCTCTCTCTTAGGTTTTGATGCAACAGAAGCATCTCAACTCAACTACAAACGCCACCTCACCTTGTTTCATGGCTATGATTGTCCCGTTTGTGGCGTCATCAGTCACCAACAACCTCTGAGCAAGCTGAGAAAAATGAAAAGGATCTTGTTTTATGAAATGTTCATGTGGGCCCTTTGTTTGATTCCTTCTGGGCTTATGTTGAGTCTGCTTTTGTTACACTTGATAAAACATCATTAAAAAAAATAGAATAATTGTGGTTTGTGTGTTTCTTGTTACTTAAAACATGTGATGGATAAGAAACTTAGTTGTGTATATTAGCTTAATTTAATTTGGAAAGAGGTGAAAAGAAATTAAAACAAAAGCACAAATTAGTCTTTTTCAGTTCTTGTGGTTGGATATGCTAAATGCTTACTTGAAAATGGTTAGGAATAGAAACTGGAGATTTAGAAAAAAGGGGTGATTTGTTTCCGCAGATTCTAAGAGACGAGGCGGTGGCGAGACTTGTTGAGCTTGGAAAGGTACATAACCTCATCAACTCACCTTTACTTCTGATAATTTTCCATTAATATTACATGATAGATTCTTGAAGTGATCTCTAACAGTATCAATCTAGTCGTCACATTGTTGATATTCCTAAATGATGCCTGAAATTGCAATGTTTTGTTCAATGTTGATATGCAACATCACACTCTGCAGAAAAAGGCTAAAATCCAGTGGCTGGTGTATTAAAGAATTGTTTGTTCTTAGATGTTAATGTTGGTGTTGATTGAACAGGTCAGTGATGCTAGTGGCTATCTAGAGAGGACATTTTTGAGTCCTGCCTCGATGAGGGCGATTGATCTTATTCAAACATGGATGGAAGATGCTGGTTTGAGAACGTTAGCCTTCTAAATTCTTTAACTGTAAATAGTTTCTCTTAAGGCTTAACTGATATATATATGTTATTTCTAGTTGGGTGGACCAAATGGGAAATGTGCACGGTAGAGTCGAGGGTGCAAATGAAAATACAGAAGCTTTATTGATTGGATCTCACATGGTGAAACTGAATTTTTGCTTGACAATTAGTGGTAAATTTAGTGAGGGTTCATTACTCATATCACTGACTATGATGGATATTCATTTTGATCAGGACACTGTTGTTGATGCTGGTAAATTTGATGGATCACTAGGAATAGTCTCTGCAATATCTGCATTAAAGGTTATGCATGTCAATGGAAAGCTGCAAAGTCTAAGGCGTCCTGTTGAGGTTAGTCAAGTAACCGACTGATATAGTTTGCAGTTCTTTTGATGATATATTCTGATGCATGGTTACTAGTATTTTACGTTGCTAGTCGTTTCTCAATTCGATACTAAATTGAACCCAAAAAGTATGAATCTCTAGTGTGTTTTTATTTGGATGGACATGCATCTTATCTTGAATCTTAATTCATTCTAATGTCATCTAATCGTGCAGGTGATTGCATTTTGCGATGAAGAGGGTGTGAGATTTCAAACTACTTTCTTAGGTAGTGGAGCTATAGCTGGTATTTTACCTGCTACGACATTGGAGATAACTGATAAGAGGTATCAACATTGAACTTTCTGGTTATGGCAGTTGTAGAATTTCATGTAAGAAATGTATTTACTTATATCCGCCTTTCAGGAATGTAACGATAAAAGAGGTTCTTAAAGGGAACTCAATAGAAGCCGCGGAGGAAATGTTTTTGCAGCTCAAGTATGATCCAAAATCTGTTTGGGGTTATGTCGAGGTATAAGGAGCATTTTCGCTATTCGTTTATAGTGCTGTTTGGCTCAATAATTTCACAAACATAACTAACCTGTTTCTTATGTGTTGCAGCTTCACATTGAGCAAGGTCCTGTGCTGGAACAAGTTGGTTTCCCACTTGGTGTCGTTAAAGGCATAGCTGGACAGACACGATTGAAAGTAAAGTATTTTCGACATGTTGAAGCAATTTGAAAGTAATTTATATACAAAAAAATGAACTGAAAGATGATATTAATGATAAGCTATTTTATGCAGGTTACGGTTAAAGGCTCACAAGGTCATGCAGGAACTGTTCCAATGTCCATGCGCCAGGATCCTATGGTGGCTGCTGCTGAACAAATTGTACTTATGGAAAGCCTCTGCAAACATCCCGAAGAATACCTTTCTTTTGATGGTCATTGCAGTGATTCATCGATAAAATCACTTTCAAGTTCGCTTGTTTGTACAGTTGGTGAAATATCAACATGGCCAAGTGCTAGTAATGTCATTCCAGGCCAGGCAAGCGATGAATTTCCAAAATGTTGTTGCCCCGGTGATCTTCAAGTGGACATGTTTTTTGCTTCCTTAATTTGAATACTATAATGTTAACATGATGATTTGTTGCAGGTTACATATACAGTCGATATACGAGCAATTGATGATCTTGGACGTGAGGCTGTTATCTACGATTTATCCCATCGAATTTACCAGATATGTGACAAGCGTTCAGTTTCCTGCCTTATTGAACACAAGGTATGTTGTCAAGTTCAACCCAACGTATTCTTAATCTTAAAACAGACAACTTTGTTTTCTGAATCGTATATCAACAATCGACTTTTCTGTGTTCCCCTCAGCATGATGCAGGTGCTGTGATTTGTGATCCTGATCTAACCTCACAGCTAAAGTCTGCAGCTTATTCTGCACTCAAGAGAATGGAAGGTGACATTCAAGATGAAGTGCCAACATTAATGAGTGGAGCAGGGCACGATGCCATGGCAATGTCTCGCTTAACAAAGGTTTCACATCCTTTTCTTCTATTTTCTCTATACAAGTTTACTTTGTGTCTTAATGTTAGTATATCAGTTGTTATGTTAGTATTTTCTCCTTCGCGCGTAGAATATGACAACGAATGAGGCTTTAAACAGGTGGGAATGCTATTTGTGCGCTGTCGCGGAGGCATAAGTCACTCTCCACAAGAAGATGTACTAGACGATGATGTTTGGGCGGCCGGTTTAGCAACCTTATCATTTCTGGAAAATCTATGATGACCAAGTAAACTAAAAATATGTACATATTGTGTTTGTAGCATGTAAGTATAGGTTAGTGTATTGAGCTCATTCATAATTCAACACTTATTTAACTTTGTGTCTTTGTTATAGTTGTGTTATTAAATTATCCTCATGCATGTCAAGAGGAGGCCTCCAAATTTGTAACAATTGAAGTTGTTGCAAATTTTTGGTGTGAAAAATCAATTCTTCCATGACCATACATGAGTGGTCAAGGTTTCAAATGTACTTGATAAATTGAAGAAGGAATATATAGGCCAATTTATTCATACTTATATTTGTCATAGCATGTATGTCAAAACTGTTATGTAATTATTTGTATGGGCATTTGAATTTTAATATATAGTTTAATTAAGGGCTTGTTCAATAAGTGCTAACTGAAGTGTTATTTACTTTTTAGACTGAAATGTTAATTGTTGTTCTTGTTGTGACTCTAAATTTGTAGGTAATTCATTTTTCTTATTATTGAAGAACATCAATTTCTTTAGTGTCTCTATCTTAATAAACATCCATCAAAACTATTGAAAGACGAATTATTGACTTTCAATGGACATTTGAAGATGCCATGTTTAATCAAACTCTTGAATTAAAAAAATTAGCACACATTGTGCACACATTGCATTACAAGTAGTGACGTATAAAGCTAAAATAGACCTTGCAATTTACATTACAATCAGTTTCAAAATTAACACTCATTGTACACATATTGCATTACAACTAGTTTTTTATTTTTTAAGTACATATTGTGTATTACAGTCTTGAACATAAATAACCAAAAATTGTGCGTTAAAGCACTTTGCACATAACTTATTTCTCATAATCATGGTAGGTATGGCATGTCTACATAAAATGTTTACAAGTTCCCAAAATAGCAAGCACATTTTTTTCAAGATCAACAATGAATTAATGATCATCATATGTGTGATTTAATTGCTGTATTATACCAACGCTTTAGGTAGGCACATGTAGCGTCTCGAAAAATATTCGAATCAATGAAGTCGTCATTGAGATTTATTTATTCTATGAAGAAAGGGAAAATATCGAATAAAGCCTACAAGAGAAAAGAAATAGTCTACGAGACTAAAGAGAGGGTTCGGGAGTCGGTTATGCAAGGAGAAAATATTAGCACCTCTCACATTCATCGTACTCGATGTTACCCATTTAGTTACTTTGTGTTCGTGTGTTAGTGTGAAAACTTACGATCTTCTTAAAAGAGAAAAGAAAGAAAGGAGAAATGTTTTTGGATTTTTTATTATGGTTTTCGCCAAGACATCGTATCTTGTGCTTACATATTCTCTCATGCGATGGGAAAGTCAGAGCGTCGTAGTTCGGATAAAAAATATTTGTGTGTTGGTTCTTTTTAGTGAGAGATACTCGATCACATTCGAACGGAAGCATTTCCATCCGAAACATAGATAATGGAATGTTTGTATCACTTCAAGAAAGAATAACAGAATCCGGATATGCACAGATTCTGGCCGTTATCGTATTCGAGTGAAAATGGCTCAACATTCACATGTGTAAGGAACGATGTTTCATTGTCACATGAATAGACGGGATACGACTCGTTTTTTAAAAGGTTTTGAATTGAAAAGCCAAGTGACAAAGAGTTTGAATGAGTTTGGAATTGTTTTTATGTGGGAGACATGCATCGGACCATAAGTGTTAACGACTAATACTCCAAGTACTCGAATGGAGGGGACAGAATCATTCTTACCGTCTTTTTCATCCCAAAAATTTTATTAAGAAAAAGTGAGGCGAAACAATGGTTTGCTTAATTAGAATTATTTGAGGAGTCAAGTGTAAATTCACAAGTTGAAAAAGAACTAACAACCCAATACTTGAGAAGGAAGGGATAGAAGCGTCTCAACCATCTTTCTTATGTTTTATTGAGAATTTTTTTTGAAAAGAAGACTCGACGTTGGATCGAGATTTGAAAGTTTGTTATGAAAGTATTTTAGATGCTTGGAGAATGGATCAAGAGAAGGAATGAATCGGGTTATGATCAATACAATCCATGTGACTTGATTGATCTCGAGAGAATAGTCAATCCTACTCTCTACTATGAAACCCTAATTGAATGAGAACTTCGTTAGTGGACCAAGGAGAGAGAAATTGATGAGAATAATTGAGTGTGAACAATTTTGGATATTCATAAAAGTAGAAAATAAATCGATAAAAGCCCATACATAGTGGCCGGCACAAGCATAAATTATAAGCACATGTCGTAGTTTCTAAGTGTATGCTAGCAAAGTGAATTAGCCTATAAAGATCAATTGGAACAATTGATCGAATAGAAGTATACTGTAAGAATTCCTAGGAACCAGCGTGGAAGTGTGCTTGTATGGTCATTGCAGCGCTTACAAGTTTTGTCGACTTACGAGATGAAAATGATCCATGATCAATTTTTAGTTTGAAGAGTGTTTTTCGGTTGTGCACATGCAAACGATGATGGAATAATCAAGTAAATAAATTAAATTATTACAAAATTTAGGGGAGAGGGATCCATCATTTATGAATGGGGATTAGAAGATACAAAAGAAATGCGATAAGTTAGTTACATTACAAACGGGGGAATGAGATACAATTTACCGAATAGGAATGAAAAAAAAAGGAAGAATCTATTAGTTAAACATCAGATAAACTAATTAATCAAGTTAAGAAAAATAGATTAGTAAACTAATCCATTTTAATTAATAAATACTAATTAATTAAAATGATATGTAACTAATAGATTAAAGTGAAAATAGAAAGTGGAATTGTAGAGATGGAATTAAATCGATGAAACTTGAATCACTTAAGGAATAACAACCAAAGAAACGATGTTAGTAACCACAAGAGAATCAAAATGAAATCAAATGAAAATTGCATAATGTAACATGAATACTTTTTTCAAGAATCGAGAGCTTAAGCCAATATTCAATCCACATAGCGTTCCTCGTTCTTAATTCCATCAACATCAAGTAATACAATCGTAAACATGGTCTTCAATTCACAAATGAAAACAAAACTCAAGAACTCAACTATAATTCAACTTTAACTTCAAACATGTAGAATCGATTTCAACACAAGATTCAATTACATAAATCAAATTTCGGGCAACAACTACATAAGCATAACGATGCTAAAAAATTCATCTCAAACAAGTGTTTCATGCATCCGGAATACATTGGTATCACAATTGAATTTTCTCAATTGATTTCGACTCAAATATAACCAAAACATCATCAAAATCTTATTTCAAATTGGTTAAAAAGACATGACATAACATAAACTTCAATCCACATTAAAATCAAGAATAACATGGTCATTAAAAACTCAAAATATCTTACGTTCTCCCCCTTTTTGTCATTAATCAAAAAGTAATAAAGAAACTTAAAGACAATACAATGATTAAGCATTCAAGACCAGGGATTGGTACAAACATAGACAAATAAAAAAAGTTTAAGCAAGGAACATAGTAGAAACAAGAAAAAGATTCAACTAAGGTTGTGAAGGAGGTGGAAGTCGTGTGAACAATGCTTCCAGAAGGCTCTTGATCTAATTGCTTGATTCTTCTTGCTTGCCTAGCATCCCCTTAATTTCTTTGTTTGTTTCATCCTATTTATCGCCTTTCGTTAACAGTCGCGTTCTCTTTCTTCAACTCATCCAGAGTTTTCAATATAAGAGAAGATGAAGTTGTTTCAATAGTAGAAGCCATATTCTCAGAAGTTATTTTAGCATATTCTTTCTCAGGAGATTCTTCAACTGATTTGCCTTTGTCTTCAAAAACAATCAGAGGTTGAGATTAAGGTTCAGGAGATGGTTCGTGAGATTCTAATTCCCGTGGAGCTTCCCAAGGAGTCATGTTCAAAAGACGAAGGGGTTTCCTTACCCAAAAATGTAGAACTTGATCCTTGAAGATATTCATATGATCGCAGAAGTTTTGTTGAGCAAATTCATAACTAAGTTCCTTCATCTTCAGAGATTCAGAATTAAACCATTTTATGAACTGAGTCTAGAGATAATTAGAAGCATCTGGATTAATATTATCCATGCAAGCTTGCTTCAAATAGTTAACCCATTCTCGTATTTCTGTCTCGAAAACCAGCAGAGATTTACCAATATCTTATTTGGATAGTTTTGGTGTTGGTTTTGGAATGGTTGTTTTCTGAGAAGATGCAACAAGATTGTACCAGGCTTCTAGGATAATTATGGTTCTGAGAGGTTCTTCTGAGTAGTCAGTGGGAGTGGGAGAATAGGAAATGATGATAGGAGTGTATCATACCCCAAATTTGTCCTATTGATTTCTAAGCAAATTATTCCTTATTGTTATTAATGTTATCATTTTCTTTATAATGTTTAGATTATTATTGTCAAAATCATATATGTTGTAGGGTTTAATTTTATAGAGGGGGTGTATTGTTTTCAAAATGGACCATCAAAATCTGATGGCCCATTAAGTTTCTTCTTACAATAAGAAAGGGTGTGCATTTGTTGTTTAGATTTTAGCCCGTTAAAGTTGGTGAAAAGTAGAAAGTGGGGTGTGCTGGTTTAAACAGGGGTGTCTATTAGAACCTGATGGCCTGTTACAATTTTTAGGCCTATTTACTTTTGAAAGGGGGTGCGTTAGTAAGGCTAGAGGTCTTGTTTGTCAAAGAAAAGCCCATTTTTGCTAAGTTTAGAGAGCAATCTAGCGGCCCATTAAGGGCTATTGTGTTTTTAACAGATGAGGGATGTGATTGTTTAGTCTACCAATTGGGCTTCACAAAAGAATTATTGGTACTTTTTATAGAGGCCCATGTTGCATTTTTTGGAAGCCCGTTTTTTTGGATGAAGTTAACACTCCTTCAAATTATTTTATTATTGCCATTGTTCTGCTTTATTATTAATTTTAATATCTTTTCTTATTATTATTATTTTGATTAATGTTGACCAAGTCAAAAAGGGTCTTTGAAACCCTAGTTTTCAAGATACATCCGCAACGTCCTATTCTTCAC